CTAACGGAAGGACATATTTGAGAATTGTGTTATAGTAAAAGAGCATAATTGATGTGAAAATTTGTAGAAGGACATGTTTGAGAAAAATACATAATAGAGGAGCAAATTATATACATACCCCTAATTAGATAGACTATCAGATTATTGATCCACTGGCATTGAAGTGGAACAAACGTTGAGCCCCACGGGAGCGCTGATGAGGAGACCAAACGATCATCCAATGATTGGACCTTATGTCATTCAAATGAGTGACCGATACTGACCATGGAGTCTGGAAAAATATTCAACTCATTAGGAGAGAAGAAAAAATGTTCTAATCAAGTTTCAATGAGTGAATGACCGGAACGGTGATTGGACATAGTATAAGTATGACCATGAAAGCTAATGTCTATTACACCTAAATCATCTACAAAATCCAAAAAAATAGAGGCTGCTTATGGATCAAAGGGAGCATCACCGGTCAATTACTCCTAGGTGTGCTTTGAAGATTGATCTAAAAACAGCTTTTCACTCAGTAGACAGACAGTTTCTGTTTCAAGCTATGCATGTTATGAATTTCCCAGATTTCTTCATTAATCTTGTTAGAGCTTGTATCACTACTCCTATGCTCAGTGTGGCCTATAATGGTGGACTTTGTGGTTATTTCCTTGCGGGGAAAGGGCTTAGACAAGGAGACCCCCTCTCCCCATTTCTGTTTACCATAGCCATGGAAATCTTTTCTAGATTGCTTGAAAAAGCTGTTCACGATAACCAATTCCTTATCATCCAAGGTGTAAAGCACTGGAGATTACTCATTTGTGGTTTGCAGAGGTGTTGTTGGGATCAGAAGGCTGTTTGACCAGTTCTACACTGTCTCTGGACTTCAATGCAATATGGCTAAGTGTAGTCTTTACTGTGCGGGGATATCTCAGGATGAGAAGGAATTTATTTCAAGAACAACTGGGTTCCCACTGGATACTCTCCCTGTTAGATATCTAGGGGTTCCTTTATTAACTGGAAAGTTGAGTTCACATGACTGTCAGGTGTTGGTTGATAAGATAACAGTAAGGGTGAAAAGTTAGCAGTCAAGGTTTCTTAGCTATGCAGGTCACCTACAGTTAATCTCATCAGTAATTACAAGTGTCTTCCAATATTGGATGACTATTTTCTTGCTGCGAATGGAAGTATTAAGGTTGATTGAGAAAATTTGTAATGATTTTCTCAGGAATGTGGGAGCTGGGGGCTCAAGGAAGAGGGCGCCAATAGCATGGGAGTATGTAGCCTTGCCAATGAAGGAAGGTGGGTTGGGGATTCGTGATTTTAAGACATGGAATCAGGCCTGTGTCATCAGACATTTGTGGAATCTCCTGGTAAAGTAGTTTGGGGCAAGCCATTTTATCCTAAGCACTCTCTGTTATTATGGCTTGTGGTACTGGGTCGAATCAATACTAACGACAAAATGTTGGCTTGGAAATTGACTTCTGACGATTTGTGTCTTCTGCCCAGGAGGATCAGAATTAAGAGTACATATGTTTTGCTCATGTTCTTATACTGTGTGGCTTTTGCAGCACATTATGCAGCAAATCAACTGCTTGGTCCCTGTTTTCACTAGATGGGAGGATCACCTCAAGTGGGGGATGGATTGTTGGAGTGGATCAAGTGACAGGGCAATTGCAGGTCGCTTCCTATGGATTTTGACACTCAGCCACCTATGGCGCGAGAGATGCAAAAGAGTTGCAGGGGATGGGGATTGGTGTACTCCTTTTAATTTGTTGAACAAAATTACAAGCGAAGCTCGTTACTTTATAGCAGGGAATGTACAGCTTCAAAATAGTTTTAGACAAGTCTCACAAAGGTTTGGATAGTGTGTTTGTTGAAATGTATAGAGAATAGGATGTTTGGTTTGAACCTTGAGAGGAGTTTAATGCCTATTGGCATCTCCTGTGCTTAATGACAATTTTGATTAACCATAAAAAAACTGAATGGCTAAACATCGCCCTAGGTTTTTATTATCGCCCTATTTCAAAATAAAAAAAATTACTAAATTATCCTCAATTAATTAAATTAAATTAAAAAACTCTTCTTATTCATTTTTGTTGACGAAAACAAACTGCTATCCAATACTTGCAGCCGCACTATCCGCCAATCCGACTACCATTCTCCAACTTCAAATGTCCCTCCGCTATGGCGCTTCCTTTCTTCACCACAGTGCATTTTTTTAGAATAAAATCCCCACCACCGTAACCTCCCTGTTATGCATGTCGCCTGAATCACCCCACCTTCGAAAATAAAATCCGAGTCGTGTCTTTCCCATCTCATTGCCCCCGAAATAAACTCCCAATCGGGTATATTCCTTCACCAAATCGCAGGAATCAACTCATGTGCCCCTTCTCCATGTTGTGATGAGCATGACGATAACATTGATGAAGACGGTTGACGGTGGGAATCGGCGACGGTCGGGTGTCGGCAGTGAGAATTAGTGACCGACGATGGGGCGAGGATAACGGCAGCGACGGTGAAGGAGATGGGTTCAGTTTTTTACGGATGTATTTATTAGAATAAAATGTTTTCTAGAAATAAAATGGGAGAATGGTAAATAGATAATTTTAGTCGTTTAAATTAGGGCGATTATAATAAATCAGGACGACATTTAGCAATCCCCATAAAAAAAAGAGCATCACCAAATAACACATATGGGAGGTCTAACAAACTTAAATTAGATAAATCCTTAAATCAATACAAATCAATAGCAAATAAACATGCAAATAACAACCACATTGAAAACCTATTCCAGTGCCAACATCATCAATATCAGTGCCAGTACTAATACCAACCTATTTCAAAAGCAATACCCACAAAAATACCAGTTTACCAACACTGATACCAGTATCAGTACAGTTCCATCCAATAAGAATGAATATACCACAATTAAAAAAAAAAAAACATTCCCTTTACATTCCGGGCATGCTTACGTGAACCGCTCATACATGCATACAAAAAACATTACCTGTACCAATATGACTTAAAATTTTAACACCAATACGATACCATTTTCATCGTCGAATATAAAAAGATGGATACGGCCAGTGACGGATTCAGAAATTTTAGAAAAGGGCATCCTCACATAAAAATTTAATTAAATTAATTATTAAACAGAAAATATCTAACTTGTACAAAATACAACAAAGCATTATTATTTTTTTAGTTTCATTATTGTTGTTTTGGTTGTCGTTGTAGTAGTGGTTTACTATCGAAACCTCAACATTGCCAACGTTAAAAAATCCAAAAAAAATCCTAATTTGTGGTTGTCATGGTACCTACCTCTAGAGCTGAAAATTGGCGTGACTCGTCTTTGGTCCTGTCTGACTCATCTACGAAGGGTCAACTTATGTAACGGACAGTCTCATCCTGCAGTCTCACCCTCTAATTTTTCTAAAATTAGATTTTTTACCAAAATTCATATTTTCTTATAATTTAGTACCTAAACTTCATTTTTTACTAATAGGTTGAGAAATTTTGGTTGTAAAATTACGTTGTAGCACCTTTATATTTTACACCTTGCATTATATCACCTAAATTTATAAATTAAGTTTACAAAGAGGTGCAATGTGTTGGTATAAGGAATTTCAGACACTAGCTGTCGCAATAGATCACATGATCAAAAAGTGAGCCGCCCCTAAATTGATCAGACCATTATAAGGTTAAAAGGTAACCTGTCGCTGAACTGACCGTAAGATAAACTGATCCAGTCCGACCCTCGAGTTGAGTTGAGGGGTCTCTAGGATCAAGCTTACACCATACCTACAGCTGTGGGGTTGACACTTGTATTGTATAAACATGTGTGTACAAAAGAGTACTTGAAAGTACCATTTGGACTGCAGAATGAAATGGCGATACTATAATATTTGTGGCTGGTGCTATTGCGCATGCCAACCATATGAACCGCGGTGAAGGAATTGCAGGCTGGCTATCTAGGATGGTGATGGCGGTGATGACGTGAACTGTATTCTGTTGGCAACGCCCCAGATGGACAGACGGGGAGAGAGATTAGAGAGAGAAAGCAATAAGAAATGAAAATCTATTCTGTTGGCCTCCATTTGTCAACTCCCAGCTGAGGCATTGAACTGATCACCTATATCCTAATAATTCCACAAACCCCATAATCGATCATGGGGATACTAGTACTCTACTCGGTTATGACTAAGTTGTGATCGTGTGTGGGATGAAGTCAATGGTTTGTTTAAGCATGTATATGGATGTGATGGTGAATAGGGTTGTCAACTCGGTTTATCCTACTAATTCGGACGAATAGTTGGATTAACTGTTAATGATCCCACCGTTTCAGTTTGATTTAGTTCAAATACAGTAAAACATCTATAAATCAATATAGTCCGGATCGTGAAAATTGTTAATTTATAGTAGTTATTAATTAATTAATAATTTATTAATTCAAAGAGTTTTTATTATTATGTACATTTAAAGTAGTTATGGAAAAAGTGATTCTATTGTTGATGCATATATAAATTATATCAAAATTCAAATAACATATGGGATTATGGGTAATAATTCGTATTTGAATCCAAACACATAAGTTTGCAATTGACACTTTGACGGTTTGAATGAACCGGAATAGCCTACAAAATACCGATATAACTTATTATTAGAAGAGTTGAAGCTGATTTTGCCAAGTTTTAACCGGATTAAAGCCGGTCTGATGAAACCAGAGTAAGTCCAAAACAAGTGTATGACGCTCGTTCTGCCGGAGCCGGACTTACCTAATCCCTCCATTTTTCTAATCGCGCCTTTTTCGTTCTTGCTACAAATCTGATCAGTTGACAAAGCCGGCTTCCCATTATTATTCCCTTCCATCCAAAATTCCCCTTGTACGGTCGCCCCCTCCTCCTTCCTTCCCTTACCAACACGCACACACACACATATATAAATAAATACTCGCATACATACAAACACATAGAAACACAAAAACACATAATAACAACACGCAATATCCAGAGGCCTCTCCTCCATCCTCCCTATACAATGGCCGCATCCAAGGTTACTACTAGGAAGAAGCAGAAGCAGCAGCAGCTGAAGAAGAACAACAACAATACCGTGTACTTGCTGATCAAGTTGCTGATTGTTGTGGGCTTGCTTTGTGCTCTTGTTGGGCCGACTCATGCGGCTAGGCCCGTGCCGGCGGACCATTATCGCCGGCGGGAGGAGGTTGTTGCTGCCGTGGTGGTGCCAGCAAAGGCTTCGAGGGAGGAAATAATGGTGAGGGCACTTATCAACATGCTGCCCAAAGGAGCTCCATTGCCACCTTCCGGCCCCAGCCCTGGCATCAACTAATCATCATCGATTCAGCTTCCACGTCACCCTCCAATTTACCACCTTATTATAGTAATTATATATAATAGAAGTTGTAGTAGCTGCATAATATTTGGTCACTTATAACTAAGTTATACAAGATAATTACACAAGCATATTGAGACAGCAAGTAAGTAGAGCCTTAATCAACTAGAGTTATTTGTTTTTCTCTTCTTCCCATGCCATGCAACGCAAAGATTATATATAACATGAATTATAATTACATTCATCTTATTGTTAATATTGTTACTTTTCAGAAGTTGTTAGTAATTATTTTTTACGCTATCTAAAACATAAATGTTACATTTAATTTCTTGATCCATTTAAATTACAGCATACATAAACAATTTCAAATCAAATAAGATTGAATCAAATGAAGCTATAAATTAGATTGTGAAAATGGAATGACTTAACCAATTGCCCTAACTATAGTTAGGCAATGTATTAAAGGTACTAGTTAACCAGTTTAGTTAGTTTGCGATCAAGCTGCCAGAAACTGTTGAATTCTCCAACTCATATGCATGCCTGGATCATATATTAAGACAAAAAAGACATAATGTATGGTGAAATTAATTTGTTTCCCCCCCCCCCCCCCTAGTGTGGGAGTTGGGTTAATTTGTTTGTTATAAATCTAACCATAATTTGCCCTTTAGTAGTGGCAAGAATTGGCAGGAAAATTATGCCATTTGTGTCATTGACTCTATTCTGATGGGCAGCTATTTTACAGAAATTAATTGATATTGGGCCATAATTAAGGACCTCAAGATATAAACACGCGTTAATTTGGTGATGGTACATATGGATCATGGATGCATTGCTTCATGACATGATCGACTGCATACCATAATCTAATCGAGTTGACTTTTTCATATTCTAAACAACCATTTGACAAAAGGGAGGAAATCATCTAGTTAGTTAGTTAGTTAATTAATTAATTAATCTATTATTAAAAGAATGTAGATGGAAAACTGGACAAGGTGAGTTCACTGCTTCAGTCAAATTTGAAAAGCTCTCACAATTCTGCTTTCTTTGTGGCATCCTTGGTCATATTGGCCAACAGTGTCCTTGCCGAGAAGAACTCGCTGGCACAACAACTCCATATAACCGGCGCTTGATTTCCAAAAAGTCCAGACCCAAAGTGAATGAGAGGAACCTACATGGCCGCCGCCATCTGACCTGGGTTCACAAAGAGAGGGAGTCGGTTCCCCAACTAGGACAAGGCACCTCCAGCCTTGTTCCTGCTGCAAGTCTGGGGTCTTCTTCTGCTATCGCTACATCGACCGTCGAACCAAGTCTGACCCGTGGAAGGCAAGCTACGACTGACCCTGTGCTGCACATCCCTGAGGCCAAGAAGTAGAAACTCGAGGATAACCCTCTCAAACTGGATATCATTATCAATGATGTGGTGGTGGCAACCAGCCCGGACTGGTCCCAATGAGATAGATGAGCATCCTCGCCTGGAATTGTCGGGGACTTGGCTCTACCGTGACAATTCCCTCGCTCTTTGGAGCCATTTTCCGTTTCTCGCCTTCGATTATATGTTTAAGTGAAACGAAGCGGGATGATGACTTTGTACATAAGAAACTTAATCGGTTAGGCTATGTCGTCATTAGTTGTGTGTCTCCTGTAGGAAGGGTTGGAGGTCTAGCTTTGGCCAGTGCACCTAGCGTTCAGTTTCATGTGGTAGGAGAAGCTGCATTCTTTATTCATGTAGAGATTCAACATCTAGTTTGGGGTAGTATTGCTATTTTGTTTGTCCATCTACAGTTCGATGTAAATACTCGCATCTCCCAATTTAATGAACTAGTCAATTTGATCTCGTCGTGTTCGCTGCCCACTCTTGTTCTTGGTGATTTTAACTGCATTCTATTTGCATATGAGAAACAAGGGGGGACACCCACCTTCTTTTGCTAGCATGGATCACTTTCACTCATTCATTGATACTGCAAGGCTATTTGATTTGAGTTTCAGAGGCCCTCCCTTCACTTGGTCAAATCGGTAGGGCCTCTCTACCCATATTCTTGAACGTCTTGATCGCAGGTTAGGTTCCGAACTAATTTTACATGCTTGGACAAACGTGCAGGTCTCTCATTTGACTGACCTTGTATCAGATCACAGGATGCTTCTCTTATAGTTAGTCCCTGGCTCGGGTAAAGGTACACCCCGGTTCTTGTTTGATGGATGATGGACTCCTCTTGATGAGGCCATGAACATAGTTCTGCAAGCCTGGCAAGAAGTTGTTGCGGGCACACCACAATTCCGGCTTTTCTCCATGTTGAAGTCAGCTCGCCATCAGTTTGTTGCTTGGGCGCGCCAGGGTACCACCAACTCAGCAAGGCAGATTAGAGAACTTCGTCAAGCTATCGAGGCTGAAAAGGACCGATCTGCTTTAGACTGGACTGTTATAGAAGGTTTAGAAGCTCAACTGGCTGTCGCGTATCGGCAGGAAGAAGTATACTGGAAGCCGAAGTCCAGGAATAATTGGATGCACTTCGGTGATGCCAACACGGGCTACTCCCACGCCACTGCAGCTCAACGGCGGAGACATAATCAGATAGAACTACTCCGGTATGAAGGAGGTGGAATCCATGTTGAGGAAACAGCCAAGGGTAATGTCTCTGTTTCTTATTTTGAAAATCTGTTTTCATCTAATGGGATGCACTTCGGTGGCAGTCCTAGGCCTACCGAGAAGGGTGAGCTCGAATCATAATTACCTGCTAACCAAGCTTGTTTACCAGGATGAGATTAAACAAGTAGTATTCAGCATCAGGGCATCTCAAGCTCCGGGGTTTGACGGATTTACAATAGCTTTCTATCAAGCATATTGGGAAATTGTTGGTAATTCGGTCGGGTAGGCTTCTTCATAATTTTAATCATACGCGGATCACACTGATTCCCAAGGTCCCCAATGCAGATTCCATGAGACAGATGAGACCAATAGGCCTGTGTGAGGTTTTTTATAAGATCATATCCAAGGTGTTATCTTCCCGATTAAGTCAGGTGCTCCCTTTGGTTGTGAGTGATTGCCATAATGGGTTTGTCAAAGGGCGGGACATCTCCGACAACATACTCATTGCCGAGGAAGTAATGCACTTTCTCAAGACGAAGTCGGAATGTAGGGACAAATGGATGGCCCTGAAGCTAGACATGGAAAAAGCATATGATCGGGTTGAGTGGGGTTTCCTATTTACTGTTTTGGAGTCGTTGGGCTTTGCTTCAGGCTGGATTAAGCTAGTCAAGGCTTGGGTCACGACCGCTTCCTTCTCTGTGATTCTCAATGGCAACATACATGGATACTTCCAACCGGAACGGGGTATCCGTCAAGGTGATCCTCTATCCCCTTTGATATTTGCTCTTTACACAGAAGATTTTTTCCACTATTATCTCTAATGCTCTTGCAGATGAGCAACTACATGGCCTTAAAATCCATCGCTATACTCCAGTTACTTCACACTTATTGTTTGTTGACGATACTTATTTGTTTCTAAGAGCTTCTTCCTAAGAGTGTAACTAGCTTCTGCAATTGTTTAACCTTTATGAGGCGGCTAGTGGGAAGCCACCTTGGGTGTCGATTCAATTGGAGAATTGGACAAATACCTTGGATTACCGGCTCGGATCCAAAGGTCCAAAGTTCAGACTTTTCGGTTCATAGAAGAGGCCCTCACTAAACGCATTCAGGGCTGGAAAACCAAATCTCTCTCGCTAGCAGCGAAGGAGGTAGTGATCAAAGCTGTCGGATCCGCTACCCCTGTGTATGTGATGATGTCTTTTCGGTTACCAGCCACTTCCTGTCGAAGAATGAATTGTCAACTCTCTAAATTCTGATGGGCGAGCCAAGACAAGGAGAAAGGGATCCACTGGATAGCATGGCCAGCAGTTTGTGTTAATAAATTCCATGGAGGGCTTGGATTTTGGGACTTCGATCTGTTCAACGTTGCCATGCTGGCCAAGCAAGCTTGGAAGATACTTATGTCTCCCCAATCGACTCTTGCTCGGATGTATAAGGCCAGATACCATCCCCACTGCGACTTCCTCACTGTAATGTCAGGGACTCGTCCCTCTTGGGCGTGGCAAGGGGTTCTGGAAGGCCGTAAGCTCTTGCTGAAGGGACTTCGTTGGCAGGCGGGTGTGGTACAACCATTCGCATTTTGGAGGACAGATGGCTACCTTCTTCTCCACCTTCCTCTCCTTCCCTACTGCGTAGAGTTCAGATGGACAATCCGTTTGTGGCATCATTTATTCATCTGGTTTCTCGGACTTGGAATAAGGATTTGCTTACTAATTTATTCACTACTGATTGTGTCAAGCTGATATTGTCTATTCCTTTACCTGCTACCCCTCGTCCTGACAAGTTAATATGACATTTCTATGACTCAGGTCTGTATACGGTAAAGACGGGATACCACCTGCTTTCGTACGAGCGCTCGGAGATGTTCAACAACCTCCCCCCTCATCTTGATACCTGGTTCTGGAAAATTCTGTGGAGTTTGCCTGTCCCCCCCTCCCCCCCCCCCCCCCAGTTAAATTCTTTTTGTGGCGGGTTGTCAGGGGTTTATGCCTTGTTTGGATGTGTTTCAGACTAAATCCTTAAGTGATTCAAGCTCTTGTCTTGTTTGTTCCGGGGGAATCGAAACTATTGCTCACTGTTTATTTGACTGCAGGGTGGCCAGAGAGATTTGGTATCTCGCTAGACATGATCAGGTTTGGCAGATAGTAGCCAACATGTCTTCCAACTTGGCATGGGCCCATATCTTTACCTCATTGCAGCTGAGCAAAGTGGAAAATGGCGGAGTTGGTGTTCCTTACTTGGCATATATGGAAGGCCCGCTATTGGTCTTGCTATGACCGTGTGTAGTATCTTCCAGGCCCTTTAGTTCGGCAATTTCTCCAACAGCGGGATGAATGGACAACAGCAACTAACTCCAGCTCGCGTGGAGGGTATCCTCATGGCCATCCCAGACCTGTTCCACCTTCTCCATCCTGTCTGGCAAGGGGTGTGTTGATCCACTTTGATGGCGCAACTCGGCATGGAGAGGGAGGCATCATAGGCTCTGTTGGGTTCTCAGAAGCAGGGTCACCCATTTACGCCTGTGGCAAGTAGTATAAAGGTATATTTGATCCCTTTTTAATGGAGCTCCTAGCGTTACGAGATGCAATGGATTGG